AATCAATAAGAATATTTTTAGATGATACAATTGTATTTTATGATTCAGCATCTTGTCTAGTTGTTCGGACACGTACACATCAATATACATTTTGTTTTCGTCGTCAAGTGTGTACACAAGGAGCAACAAGTGCATTTTGTACAGCTAAATTTCAAGCTTATGATGTGTGTCAAAAAGAAAAAAATAACTCAACTTTATTGTCGATAGAAAATGATGATGAATATGAATTAATAAATAATATTGTATCTCGTTATGGACATGAAACATTAATGAATTCAGATGGTACAATAAAAAATAAAAATGTTCCACGTGCACAATGGATATGGATTGATGGACTAAGAGGTTGGGTCTTTATAAAAAAAATAAAATTAAAAAATTTGAATTTTTTTTGTTCATATAGATTCAAATAATATTTATCATTGGAATATAAGCGGAGATGTTTTAACAACAATTAAAGATAAATATTGGTGTAATACGATGACAAATTGTTCAGGTGGAAAAGGACGTGATCACGTTATTTTAAATATTATATGCCAACCAAATGAAAAAGATCTTCAAGTTTGTCTATCATCGAGACCAAAATCCGAGCCTGGACCATTTATATGTAAACGAACATTGACAAAAAATGAAGGTAAAAACATACGAGTTTTATTGAATAATTTAAATATAAAATTCTTGTAGAACCAATTTCCAATTATACTTTTCTTAAAAATTCAACTATCCCAACATCTACAACTACCATAACACCTATAACGACACCTGTAATACCACCTTATGAAAAACGTAAGTTTACTTTACTTTTAATTCAGTGGCGGATCTAGGATTTTGAAAGGGGGGGGGGCGATGTCTCTCCTAAATCCGCCACTGTTTTAATTTTCATTATATTTCCTTTTTTTTCCTATTAATCAGATTCTACATTAATTTATCATGATGAGGAACGTTGTTTAACTGTTGAAAGTGGTTCTCATATTTATACATTTTGTTTACGTCGACAAACTTGTCCATTGAAGAAACAAGCTTTTTGTACAAAATGGACTACAGCTCAAGAAGCATGTCAATCATTAGACAAGGATTCAAATTTATTAACGATTGATAATGAAGAAGAAAGAATATTAATTACAGATATTATGAAAAATTATATAAATGAAACACGTTTAACATTTAGTGGAAGGTCAAATCAACATTATGGTTTTGCAAATTTTGTATGGATTGATGGAATTCAACAAAGTTAGTGAAATAAAATTTTCGAAAAGAAAAATAAAATTTTTTTTCTCTTCTTTTAGCTGATAGTCAAATATATTTATGGAAAAATGGACTTGAATCTATACCAGATCATTTATGGTGTTCAAAAAAGGGTTGCAGTCAAATGAATCGTGAACGTGTTATGATAAATTTATTATGTAATAAAAATAATTCATTAATTTGTTTGAGTACACATTATGAATGGAAACTAGCACCTTATATTTGTAAACGTATACGCCCAAAAGATCGTAAATATTTATTTTCATATATATAACATAAGATGCCTATTTTTTATATACAGAATGTCAAATATCAATCAACTATAATCATACGGGTGAATTATTAGTTTTATCAGCTAATCGAACAAAAGCTTCGATTAAATGTAGACATCCAGATTATAGTCAAGATATTAAAATAGAATATCAATGTGATACTGAAACTAAGAAATGGATATCAGTCTATAAAAATAATAATTTTACTTGTCGTAAGTTTAAAAATAAAATCTACAAAAAAAAAGAAAAAAATTTAATTTTGTTCATTGTATCTAGCTGAGTATAAGATTCCTCCATTGGCCACATCAGCTCCTACTTTGGAATCTACTACAAAGATAATACCTACAAGTAAGTAGTTGAATAATTCTATTTGACTTTTGTATTTATACATGTGTTAAAGCATTGAGAAAAAAATTTAGATTCGTTTAAGAATACAATAGTTCACACATTGAGTTGTATATCATATTATTATATGGCATGAGTAAAAATGAAGGATACGATCGATAGACATGTATCAAAAATTTTATGCTTGATTTCGTTGTATTTTGATCTATGTTTCGCTTGATTTCCATCATAGATGATAAGGAATAAATTAAGACATTATTTATCGTTATGCAAATTAACACTAAAAGATTGGATCTTGATACATATTCATAATCTTTTATATAAAATCATTTAAAAAACTAATAAATAGGTACTCTACACATTAGTAGTTGTGACATACTACTAGTAATTTGAGATATTTCGCTTAAATTCCTTTTCTTATCCTTTCAAATAGCTTCAACTCCAATATCATATACAGCATCATCTACTACAACTTCACTATCATATATAGCACCATTTACTACAACTGTAGTTAGAGGTATAAAATCTAAATGAAGATTATCCTTAATATTAATATAATAAAATAATGATTTAGATAGTGACTGTTCACAAATGGAACTTTCATTATTAATATCCCAATTACCTACTCAATTTCGTTATATACAACCAACTAAATTATCAGCATATTCTCCATATTTTTATAATGTGAGATTATCATGTTATTTTAATCAATCAATTGAAATGACTTATCGATGTGATCTACCAACTAAACGATGGATATATATTAATGGTAGTATTGATTCTTTTCGAAATTGTTATCCTCCATGTAATAATACTGAACGATATAATTTATTAAATAAATATTTTACAACTTATGAACAAAGTCAAATTCGTACAAGATATATTGAAAAATATAAGTCATTACTTATACAATGTCTCAGTGTAATTGATCGGCAATGGAAATCAATTAATTATAAATGTGGAACCATGTCAATAACAGTATTTCAATGGTATAAAATACATTCATGTTTTCAACCGATTATAACAACAACACCACCACCACCACCACCTACAACAGTAGCAACACAGTTTCCACGTAAGTTTACTTCAAATATTTAGAACTAACGATATCGTATTTCCTATCTTGTATGACAAGTAATTGATCTAGAAAGAAAAATTTATATTTGTTTAATTCTTCGAGCGCGGAAGTAATCAACTAGACATATATACAGAGTATTCACCGTTACATGAATATATGATATACTTTACTGAAATCTTATTCCATAGGTTTCTAACGTTATAATAATCTCATTGTATACATAAAAAGTTTTTACATATTAAATATTGATTTATTTTTTCAACATCTGGCGTACACGTAATACTATATTTTAGCTATCATAGTATCACTGGGTGTAGCCGAGTTAAAACCTTTATGTCCTCCAGTAGTCGTTCGTGGTAGTCCATGTGAATATGAAGTTGGTCAATATGTACATGATAAAAATGGATGTATACGAAAACTATGTCCATCACTTAGTCATTTATGTAATGTAAGTAAAATTCTTTCTATCGATTTGGTTTTGGTTTTCCAATAAAAATTTTTTTTCGTAATCAGACAATTCGTTGTCCATCTGATCGAAGATGTCGTGTTGTTATATGTAAATCATGTATTCACACAGATTATCTTCAAGCTGTTTGTGAAAGTCCAACGGGTATGAAATTTTTACTATGAATTAATCTTACATGCTTTCTTATTGTATGTCTTAATCTGTATGCTTGACTAGATCATCATTATATTACTACTACTAACGATGATGTAGTGATTGTCAATATAGAGACTTGAATGCTTATTTTAACTTTAATATATTGCTTGATTGCTTAGCTTGCTAGATAATATGTGATTATTTATTTTAATTTTATTATTTTCTTTTTTCCTCCTATAGTACCATCATTATGTGAGCTTGAAAAACGACTACTTTTATTGAATAATACAGAATCAATTAATCAATGGATACATCAAACAATATCTGTTGTTCAACAATATGCTAAGAAACAACAACAACGATTGACATTATCATAGCCTATGTTGGCTGTGAATTAAGAAAAATTTTACGTTTTTAAAATTATTATTTTCTGTTTTTCTTTTTTGTGTTTGATTTATGTTTGGTATCTTTAGTTAGTAAAAAGAACAGTTAAGCTTTGATTAAAATAGAGATAAAGAATGGTTTAAAATAGAAAATAGCTTAATAAACAAGAAAATTAATATTTTTTAAAATATAAACAATAAATGGAAAAAAACATTGCATACATGTTTTGAAATGAAATAAATAAATATATTTTTCTTTGCAATTTAATAAAAATTCGAGCAAATTTTTTTCTCTATAATTTATTTAAGATTTATGTTATTCATAAATCAATGTCAAATAGTTAATATGGGTGGTGGGTGTGGGTGTGGGTGTGGGTGTTTTATTTCATCCACACTCACATTCGCACCCGCACCCTCAAGATGTGGCAGAAAAATATTCATGCAATCACATAAATGATCGATCAAGGCACATATGGACAAAGTCTCTTTACATATGGAAGTAGTCATAGTTTGAACCGAATCGATAACTAGCGAATAACTCGTCAACGAGAGACAAAAGTGAGAGTATTTTAGTCATTTTATACCCACATCCTATTATAAGCCAAAATATGCAAAGCGGATCGGAGCTAAGGCCAAAAGTAAATAACTAACTGGAGTCGCAAATGAGACCATAAGAAAATATTGAATAAATTAAACAATGAAGAAGGTAAATTGAGCTTGATGATTTTATTAAGATTAAAATAATTTGAAATTAATGTAGAACGTGGCAATCTCCCACCATTATATCAATCCGATGATAATGAGCTTTATCGAACATCAAAAGTTGACTTACTTTTGATTGATTTGTATTTAGTTTGATTATAATAAATTATTTAAATACTATTTCGTTCTAGTTAGTTTTTTTATAATTCTTTAACAAAAGCACAGAAAATACAACATTCATAAGCAACATATACCAAAACAAAAGCTGAATAAATGATGGCTGAAAATTTTTCTCATTCAATGTCCTCTGCGTCATAGACGAGTTGGAAAAAAACAACGTTGAAATCTTTCCCATTTTTGTTTGAACATTGTAGTAAATTCTTTTTTATATATT